CATGATCATGATAAAGTTCCACAGCGGGTATATAAACACCTATCGAACACACTCAGTCTCATTCTACGTGATGCTGCCGTGGCAGCCGGGAAAGGAGAGATGATAGGGGAGAAAGAGAAAGGGCAGGAAGGGGGGAGAAAGGGGATGGGCAGGGGAGAGGGAGTGCACCGTTTTCAGGATTGCGGTTCGATCCGGTGTTGAGGTATTATTGCAACGTGATTGTGATAATACCCAACGGCTATATAAACACCTACTTAGTACACTTTCAGTCATTTCACAAGGTGCTGCAGTGGCAGCTGGAGAGCAGTAGGGGGAGGAGGGGAGGATAAGGTGAGGAGGAGGAACGCCAAGCTTCGCAGGGAAGGGAGGGTCCGGCGGTTGCCGGGGGACCAATCTGGTGATCAAAAAATGAGCAACAGGTGATATTTCGGTACCACTTCTCGCGGATCATATGGTTAGAGGTTTGACTGTGTAGTAAATGTGCTCTGATTTCGCTTGATCATCCACTAAATGGGTGACAGTGGGGTGCGCATTTTCACTGTAATACTGCAAAAATTACTAAAATGATTTGATTAACTCAATACTCTGTGATCAGTATTTTTGTGGTCTCTCAAAAATCCCCTATGCTACTTACATATGATGTTTTTTTTGAGAGCAGTTGAGAATTGCTTTGAATCGATTAGTTTTTTTTTTATTTTAAAAATCGCTGCTGTCCCAGAAATATCTGCCAGCCAGATATTTTTCCTACATGTCCAACACGAGCCCGTCCATGAAAAAGACTTCCGCCTTCCGAAGATCGATGACGACAATATACTGTTGAACATGACATCACTTCTTGCTCGACCCCAGAAACGCACCAAATACATCAAATTTCACGTAAGTCCCAAAATTCAAAAGACAGTGACTCTATTTCCGCTCACTAGGAGCTTCCTGCGTATTCCGCCTGTTATGCTATGGCCTGTAAGGTGCGGTGTGAGCTATTCAAAAAAGTGAAACTTTCGGGGAAGGCCAAGTTATATTGGGCCAGTCATGAATTACAAAGTGTTTAATGGTTGCCATACGAAAATTCGCAGATAGCCTCGAAAAGTCGGAAAACGCCATATAGCATTTACGTAACTAATCTGACATTGTTGGCGAACATTTAGTAGTGGAAAATCCTCGCTAATTCGTGGATAAAGCGCTCTTCGTTTCAACCACGGATGGTGTTAGGTGTCAAGAGCCAGTACTTTCTAGAGTGAGAAAGAGGGGTTTTCGAGCACAAGACCCGCGAATCAAGTGTGTGGCAAGGGCGCGTAGGCCCTGCCTTGTGCGCTGTCAGCGATGCCGCCAATCGCAGATACGTGCCGTTTGCGCCCTCTCGCGTACGACTTACTCTCTCGCGTTTTCCGTCTCCTTGCTGCACTGTGCCTCCGGGTCATTCACCAGCTAACAAGGGGAATTTCAGTATTTTCTAAGAAGCTTCTTCGTTTTTCTTCCCACTATCGTTCCCTTGCAAATTTACTGTGTAATTAACGAACAACACAATAACGAGTAATGATTGATAGCCCGAATTTTCTGGGAAACTGTTGAAAAAAAGCAAAAATTAAATGGAGAAGCACACTTACCGTACAACATCCATCAATGCTGTAATGGTTTATCGTTGGTTTATGCTCCTTCGCTTCTTCACATAGTAATCGCAATCGGTCAACGTCGAGATCAGATACTCCTAAAATATACGGTATTTTAGAGAATTGATTATCCTTTCTGACGTTGTAGAGTCCCGTCAGTATTGAAACATCTCACCCACGGAATGAACCAAATCTTTATTAACAAGACTCTCCATGAGTTCCCAGATTGGACGAATTCTCTCCATCCAGTCGCTGTCAGATAGGTCCTGAAGCAGGATATTTACGGAATATGCTTAGAGCACGGGTCGCGATAAACCGGTCAAAGAAATCCCTTCCATCACCAACGTGGCAGGCACTTCAACCAGAGGGGTGACGTCACGCTCCTGGCGCGGCAAACCGCCTCCGCCTAGTATACGGAGCAATGGCTGCCTGGTATTGTATATGACCCCCTCCATGAAGGCGGTGCGCGGCTGGCATGGAGCGCAAAAACAGCTGGGCTGTTGCCCGACATAAGGGAACTCGTTCAAACAAGCCGTCCTCCAAGCCAGCCTCCTCCGCTACTACATGAGAAGTGGTTTAATTCTAACGCGTCGCCCTTGGTTCGTCCTTGCGTCTTTCTTCCTTGATGCTTACAGTATCATCTCTACAGCAGCATCGCCGATGCAGACCACTTTTAGGCGCAAAACCCAAATCAAATAAACCACGACCGTCGGGGCGCTCCTCTTGTTTTTTGAAGATTAATACAGTGCTGACCCTGCACAACTCTAAAAAATAATATATTTCTCATAGTAAATGCCAATCAGGAGGCTTGTCAATGGGACGGCGAGTCAACGCGCGCGCCATGGTCAAAAATTGAACGGTAAGCGGTAGCGTACGCGCATGCAATATTTAAATCACCTAATGAACGTCCTTAATTGTATGCTTTTACGGCTTTTATCTTTCTATGATTCGATGTTCAATGAGGCCCTTTGATTTTACTACTGTAAAAATTACTGCCTTTTGCTACTACGAGCTTTGGCTCTCACTGAACAAACCAATCGGCTGTTTAATAAAAGGTATCTTACGTGGTGTTAGCATTGCAACATCAATTAAAGATCATCCAAAGACCTATATGCAACCACCTCTAATCCAAGTCAAATAAACATATGTAACTTGGAACGATGGAGTAGCGTAGAATAGGAGCTCTGCTGTCATCTAGAACAGTATTGGGGAAAGTATGAGCCGAGCTGGACTCATTTTTACATTTCAATCCATCCTTTGTCTCCCTCTGCTTAATTCTCGCGATCAGAAGCACCAGGGGACGTAATCTCCAGAAGACGTCCCGTGACGAGGCACGTAATGCGGAGAAGCTTGCCAAAAAGTCTTTCAGAACCTGGAGCGCTTTTTTTAAAACGGTTCTTTGCATGTTATAGAGACAGCGCAGGGAGCATAGAACTGAGAATAATTTTTCTGAGCGGCTCTGGGAATGCTAAAAAACATGTCGAAACCATGGCTTGTGGTTCGATCCCCACTGAGGACAAATTTTTGCATTTCTCTGATTTCCACTTTCTGGGCTCATATATGTCTAAACTTATTCAGTGAACGAAAGGTGTCAGTCGAAAATTGACTTCGCGGGAAAAATTCAATGATTACTCGGGATTGAAAACGGGGTATCCTACTTCTTGTTTCACAGCCGATACCATTTTGAGCTTCGGGAAGGGGGAAGCTGACGGATCGGTTGGCTATTAGCTGAACATATCATAAATTGAGATCTTGCCACAATAAGAACATGAGAATGAAAGGGAGGTGGAATTTCAAGCAGAACTTTTCCCTAAGCCAAAAGTTTTCCGTTAATTGACCTCCAATAAATATATTTTTGTTTTCCAATTGTTTTTTCTTCAGTTTCGCAAATTTCCCATGATCACTTCATCTTGTTGCCGTAATCTGTGGTCACCCTGTAATACTTATCACAGTCGAAGCTAGCTATTATCAAAATTCCCTTTCATAAGAGCTCAGAAGACCTCAAAAATTTGTACTCTGCTCATCAAACCGCATCGTCAGCAAACGGGATAAGTCCAATCACTCGCTAAAACTCGGGAGGGACAGGATTTTGGCGGTCTCTGGTTGACTTCCCTCACACTACACGTTACCAAACTCTCCTGAGTCACTGCTAAAGATATCACAAAATATCACTAAATAAAGGTTTTATGAAGACTTCAGTCAAACGTACCGTTGACTCATCGTAAGGAAATGAAACGATAAGCTGCGACAATGACCCCAGCTTTAGCGTGTCTAGCGTGACTTTAACGGCATTTTGAACGTCATCAGCCGAAAACGTGCAAAGGCAGACCTAAAATGCAAAATTATTCCAGTTCACTCAAAGATCTCCTGCTGAGCAACACCAACCTTTAGCGAAGTCTTTACATCGTTCTTTGGATCTTGCAAAACTTCCGTAGTTGGTGAAAGACATCATTCTCCGTTATGCGAAACACCGTATTTTGTGCTGCCAAATGTTTGAACGCAGCAGCGATTTCAGCAGCAGAATTTTTATGACGTCGAGTTACAAGCTAAAATATGAGTCTTTGACAGGCGGTAGGTAACTACGCGGACTAAAAGTAGCGGCAAACCTCAAGGTAGTTGTTGACATTGCCGGTATGTACTGTGAAGGAGCTACCAGATGTTATCGGAGGCATGGTGGTCTGAAGAAATAGGTTATTTCAGAACTTGTCCCGACATGGAGTGGAACATTACATAGAACAGCTAAGGTGACACGAGAAAAATATATATGGAGAAATACGCAAGATTGCAAAAGGAAGTCTTGCAGCACAAAACCAACGGAACCGTACTCATTAGCATTAAAGGAATTAAAGTGCTAACAAGCAGCAGATTCCTTATAGCAGACGGAGGAATAGAAACGTCTCGCACCGCTGGAGAAATTTCTGCTCTTTTGCCGGTATGAAGGCGCGATGGGAGGAGAGGTTATTTAAGCGCAATTGAATGACGAACCTAATAGGTTTCAATTCAGACGGCAAGTGCCACAAAAAACTGGACAGGTGATGGTGATTTATTTCTATCGAGTCAATCAGATGCAGCCGGCCCAAGTCACTCAGTGACAAAAAAATGCTAAGAGTTGAGGTTAGCCTATTTAGCATTTAAGTCCGAAGATTCCACTGTTCAGAATTATACATGTTGACGGATACATCAACTAGAAAGTTGAAAGCGAATGGGGGTGAGACGAAGAACAAAGAAAGGCAGGCAACGACAGGAATGGCATAACAAAGGGTAGACATAAAAGGCAAAATTGTGAATACTTGAGGAAAAGCTACGCAGGTGAAATAGTGATAAAGTACTCGAATGGGGTGTTACGCACTTACAAACACAAGATATGTCCTGTGATGAACATATGATCACCTAGAAAGGCATGAACTCTGAGTTTCGGAAAAAAAAATCCTTGTAACACCAAGTGAAAGCTCTAACAAGGAAGGTCTTTCAGGGTGTGTCAAGCTTTTCAAAACGGTCTTTTGCATTATATAGAGGCACATACGAAAACCACAGGAAACCACAGAACCATGGTTAATTTTTCCTGAACGGCCCTCTGAATACCAGAAAAGGGGGTCCCTAGTCACACCTTTTTCACCAGTTTTTCAATCAAGTCTCTATTTGTAAGGGTTACTGACGGTCCTAATCATGAATTTGGTACTAATTATTCATGCTAACTCCATTTTGCGCGAATTTGGAAACGTCAACTCGAAATGCAAAAATTTGTCACCACGAGGAATCGAACTAGGGACCCCTTTTCTGGTATTCAGAGGGCCGTTCAGGAAAAATGAACCATGGTTCTGTGGTTCCCACATGTGCCCCAATGTCATGCAAGAAACCATTTTGAAAAAGCTTGGCACACCCTGAACGACCTCCCTTGTAAGAGTAGAAATTCCACGAAAGAAGAGGTTCACTATAAGAAACCGAGGTTCGTCACTGCACAGAAGAAAAAGCAGTACACGACACTAGCACAACCTCATACAGTCTGATTGTACAGCACAGGATATCAGAAAAGAGGACCTAAGATAAGACACAAGACACTAATCAAGGAGATAAGAGAAGCCTTATCGTTGCGGCCGCGGTCATAGTCAGCGATTTTTCATGAAGTAGATACTCATCGATTGTGACTTGCAAACGTGCGACTACTCGAACTACAAATATTCGCAAGCAATGACCCTGGCCTAACATTCGCGCCATGGCAATGTGCACCTTTCAGTGTCCGAAGAAAGAAAAGTGAACAAGAACAGAGAAGACTTAGAATCAAGTGTGATGAATTTTAAGCCATGAACACGTTTCAGTGATCGCAGTCACAGCCACGACAAGCAGCTATAAATGCAAATGGAAGAATCCTGAAAAAGAAAGCAAGACCAAAACGAACAGAATAAGAGATGGAAGAGTGAAAAAAGAAAACGTAACAGAGGAGAGAGTAAACATTCGAATAACCCAACAGTAGGCCATCACGAAAAAAGACAAAATACAACGAGGTAAGCAAACCAGCCCTTTTGGCGTTTCTGCTGGGACCGTATGCTGAATGTTGGGGAGGGGATGGGGTCCCCGAGTCGACGGACTACTTCAACTCGGTCGGTACGGTAGGAGAGTGATGACGAAGTGGTGCAGCTAGGTCCAGCAGCTCCGCCAAAAGGGCTGGTTTGCTTACCCCAGGACTAAGCCTTGGAGAGAGGGGACCTGCGCTCTCTCGCAGGTCCGTCCTCTCTTTAAGGCTAGTCCTAAATAACAATTGTAATACCAAATGGTGCGATTAATCGACCGATTGAAGTAGTCGTCGACGTCGGAATCTCCCATCACCCTCCCCAACCATTCAGCCATACGCGCAAACGCCACACCGGTGCTTGCTTTATTCAAATTCAGCAACTTGCATGCTGTAGTTGAACGAAAGGAACCAAACCAATAAAGGACAAAAAAAAAAACCAATAGCCAAAAATTACATTAGTGATCAAAAACTCGAGAATGCGTTAGCTGGAGATTCCTTCCGTTATTCATTGAAATGGATTGCTGCGCTAACAAGTTCACCCGGGCATGTCGACTGTTCATAAAGGCACACGACTGAATTTCTCGTCGTAAACTTCACTGGAGTTAAAAGATTGCCCAGGACAAACGTTGATCTCTATTAGATGTATTGGACTGACCGCCTCAGATTCATTTCACCTTCTTCAATTCACAATACAGAACAAACATACTAATTAAATTGTTCAGAGAGAAAGTGATAGAGGACTTGAAGAAATATGCAAGTCTGAAATTTAATAAAGCTGCTTAAAAAACACGAACTGGAAAGCGATCAACAATAGATGCGAATATTTTTCAGCTGTGAAATACGGAGACGAAGTGTAGGAGTGAGAGTCGTGTTTGGGCCGGAGGGAAAGAAAGTAATCTCATATAGGTCAAAGAGGTCCGTAGTAAGAGTAAATCAAATTTCCAAAAAGGGTTTCAGAGAGAATCATTTCAAAGCGATAAAGCGCAGCATTTGTCAGCATTCTCCTTCTATTACTCGTTGATAACCAACAAAAAAAACACTTAGCGCTGTCATTAGGCTTCCAGATCTTTCTTCAAGAAACAGGACCAAGTATATGAAGAAAGCGGTGATGCTCTATAAGTGGTTGAAACAGGAGGCGCTCATGGCCTTAGGGGGGGGGGGACAATCAAAACAGGGCATTTAAAAACAACCGGTAAGTGACACTAGGACAGTTTACGGACTACTTGAACTTTCTTCATGGTCCTGCCACGAATGGCGGAGAGCACAGACGATTAGAGAACGGCGCCTGGCTCGGCTCCAAATCCCAGGAGGAGGTGAGAGCCTAGGACTAAGCCTTGTAAGGGGGAGGGACTCCGAGGTGGGTGAGCCAACTACAGTGTGGCAAAAGTTTGAATGTGTGAGATCACAGTGGTCATGAGCCGCTGATAAGGCGAGAGAGCGCAGACGAAAGCGTCGAGTGAGGCAGCTTAAAGGACCGAGTTCAAGTAGTCCGTCGACCCACTAGGAATCAGTCCATTAGAAGGAAGAAACTCCAGTGAGAACAAAGGTTGCTCAGGTCTTCCCCTAGAATCCCTTTTCCTTCCTAAAGCTCAGTCCTAAGTTTTGTAAGTGGCCACTCATTTCAATTTCCCTCTAACGAAATGAGCGCCAATCAGTATAACAGAATATAAGCAAGGTGACATAAAAGCGATACCAACCGCATCTTTTTTATGTGTTAAGGGGACCCATTTCACACAATGCGGCACCATGGCTCACCATCCACGCAGACGAAACGCTGTAGAAATGAGAACAACGGAACCCCTA